TAGTTGGTTCCACAAGAGAGGAGCCTGATAACTAAAAGATCTTTTCTACTTTTAGAAATTCTAGGAACCACTAGTAAACCTGCAGATTGAGAGCGAAGTGCTCATTGTACAGATTTAAAGAGTAGCACTTAGCTCAAATGTGCCAAAGACTCAGGATAAGTTCAACAAATCCTTCTACTGACCAGATTTGGTTCACAGAGTAAGTTACAGTAGTAATTTGACTCATGATAATAGGTTTTGCAGCTTTCTGAAAATCAAAACCCAGGATATGCAAATATTTATCCCAGAACTTATTCTAAGTTTCCACTAATCCCACCATCCAGCTCAGTGTGTTCACTCCAACATGTTAATATGAGAGGTGAAAGTAAACTGGCTCTGCTCCACAGCTGCTCTGGTTTGCAGCATCACTGACTGACTGACAGCTAATGGAGAGAGGCTGGGAACACTCATTGATCACTTCTGTTGCTCTTTCATCTCTCTGCAGGTGGAGGTGATGATCTTAGTGGAGGAGAGAAGCTGATCTGTGTCCTGATGATCCTCAGAGGTTGAAGCTGCAACAGTTTGAGTTTAAAGACACTCTGACTGGATCCTGATGATGAACTCTGAGTTTAGAGATTTTTTAGCTCTTTATTTGTTCTTGGTAAGTTGAAAGTGGCATTTTTATTCAGGGAACTCCAAGTTGCTTTTCCCTTTACTCTCCCAGTTAGTGTGTCTCCCAGTTAGTGATATTTTGTCTTTGAGGCCTTTTGCTCTGAAACTGAAGGAAATGTTACCAACAATATGAAATAAAGCTTTGTTTAAAAGTTTTCAGCCTGCTCCAAGTTTTTAATGCTTCTGATACTGTTTCAGATGTTTTCTGCAAAGTCAGCACAAGTCATCTGTTCTGTTGATCTAAACACCTCAGTAAAAAAAATATTGTTTCTTCAATCAGAGGATAAAGGTTGTTTTTTGTTTCCCATGTTCATGTGCTTTTGCTTGCCTGATATTTTGCCTGAAAATGAACTGGTCAGCAAAAGCAGTTCTCACAGCAGGGGCCAGTGCAGTGTTCTAGAACAGGTGATATATGGTCACGTTTACCTGTGCCAGTAAGGAGACGGGCAGCTGCATTTTGTACCAACTGCAGACGGTGTAAAAGTGAGTAGTCCAAGCCAGCATATAAAGAGTTGCAGTAATCCAATCTTGTATTGATAAAAGCATGGATAACGGTCTCCAGATCTTTTTGTGGCAGGTACCCTTTCACTTTAGATAAAATTCTTAACTGATAAAAGCTATTTTTTACGACCGAACTAACCTGGCGATCAAATTTCAACCTGTCATCAAATATTACACCAAGATTTTTTACTGATGATCGAATGTTAGGTGTAAGAGGGCCCAAGAAGCCAGGGGGAAAAACTGCTGGACTACAACCAAACATTATAATTTCTGTCTTACTTTTATCTAGATTCAGAAAGTTTGAGGCCATCTAAGATTTAACATCGTTTAAGCAGTTAGAAAATGACTGGATGGAGATGTTGGATTTTGAAGTTAAAGGAAAGTAGATCTGAACATCATCAGCATAACAATGAAAAGAAAAGATTATGGTTCCTGAAAATCAACCCCAATGGTAACATATATAAAAGAAAAAGAATAGGTCCAAGAATGGAGTCTTTGGGAACCCCAGAACTGTACACATCTACAAACCTCCGTATAGGGCATTGCCTACTTCATCTTTTGATAACAGTATTTTCCTTTAGCTTCCAATTTGATTGAAAAAGGCTGGTCTCCGCAGCACTCCTACAGACACATCTAGTCCCTGATTTATTTTTGGGAGGTGAATATAAACAAAATTTAGCTTTACGTACTTCCAGGTGTGGCAGTGCTCTAACTTTGCAGGATTCACCAAAAACATTAGCCTCGTTGGAGTTGTGACCTTCACTGCAGCAATGCTGAGCCCCCCTCTGCAATAGGACATGTAGCTTGTTTACTCCGACTGCAAAATTAGCATTCTTTGTATACATGGTACTTTAGTTTTATTAGCTCAAGGAATATTTTCCTAAATGTTTTTGGTATCAGTAGGAAAGGCGTTTGAGTTTCTCTGCATCAGCAGTAGTTCTGGGCTTGCAATTCTCTCAAGGAGGCCTCTGGAAGATTCCAGCTTCCAAAAACATACAATTCAGTCACAGACATGATTCCTTCCAGATATCACCACACCCCCCACCCCATCACAGAGGAACGACGCACCTAACCGCTCCAGCCGGTGAACAATACCTCCTTAACGACTGACCCTTAACAATCTGAGGCCCCGTCCACACGAAGCCAAACCCTGGCCTAAACGCACAAATTTTCCCCCAAACCAGCCTCTCATCCATACGAAGCCGGCGTTTCGGGGTCTGTAAACGATCTTTTTTTTATCAGGCCTTCAGAGTGGGAAGATTTTGAAACACCGTTTTCGCGTTTCCATCTTTAAGCTCTAACCGCATTTTTTTTTTTTTTACACGCATGCGTCATAGCGTCGCCTCTAAACACGCATGCGCGACACAGTATCTCAACAACAATGGCGCCGTACTGTGTTGAATGGTTGCTGCTCATGCTACTCACCCTGCTGTCGGGCTTACAACAGAATCTTCTTCTTCTGGAATATCTCCAGGAAGAACAGAGCAATATCGACGACATAGTTCAGCACCTGAATTTGACTGAACCACGAAAATGGACCCGCAGGGCAACCATGTATAAATATTAGTGCGCATGCCCAACATTTCGTCGCCTGTTTTTGCTTTGGCACCACAGCGCCACTTACAGGCCTGGCATACATTTTGCAGCGTTTTCATGCATTCGTGTGGACGATCACATTTATTTTACGTCTCTGTCTTTACGAGAAACGTTCTGGAAAATATTGGCGTTTCGTGTTCGTTTTGACTTCGTGTGGACGGGGCCATAGACAGGTTTCAGATATTACAGGAGACAATCCCTCCCTTAACAGCAACTAAACAGAGGCAGGAGACCTGCAGAGCTATAGATGGGTTTTTCTGGTTTAATGTAATTAAACCTATATTAACAGATGATTAGATAAGGCCCTATTGGAGTGATTTTGGTTGGCTGACCAGTGCTCTGATGTCCACCACTGGTTTCCGGTTTCTTTAATTCTTTGGTTATGGCTTTAACTCCAGGAAACTGGAGCCCCAGCTGCTTCATCTTTCCTTTGTGGTGTTGGGAAAATCAAAAGGTAATGTCTTTATTTTGTTGGTTAGGCAGTAATCAGGTGTAACTGGTTCAACTCATCAAAAAGAATTGTTGGCAGGTTGGTTTGGCTGTATATTTTCTGTTGTTCAGTAAAATATTTTTTGTAAACTGGATTTTAAATTTACTGATGTTATCTATATGTGGTGAACGCATGGGCAATAATAATTAAATAAGTGAGAGAAAAAACTTGAACAGACTACAAATAGAATACAGCATACAAATAGTGGAACATCCTTGCTTTAATCCTAAATTAAACAATTAAATTCCTAAAGAATGTTTTTAATTATTTGTAAAACCAAAAAAAAAAACATGCCTAAATAGTTTATCTGGAAGTGTAAGTAAAGATTTCAAGGCATTGTTTTTCCTCTGTGATATATGTTGACGGAGGTTAAACAATATTTATCAGACTGTTATGAATCATCAACAGCTTTATAGAAACCACAAGTTAGACAGATTTCCTTTTCACCAAATCCTGACCCAAATCTGAAGATATAAACTATATTCAGGCTGCTTTTTCCATTTCTTTGTTCCAGATCTAAACGTCTTCATTCTTCTTAGCTTTTCCATCAGTTCCACCAATCCAAAAAGGCCTCTGGAAAAGGAAACCTTCCTGTTTTACCTCTTCTGTCCCTGTAAAATAATCATCCGATTTTAATGGGCTTTGCCCCTTTTTCAATATATAATAGAGCAAAATGTTCCTTAAGCCCATCCCTTCTTTGTCCTCCAACATATCAGCTTCATCAACATGCAAACAAGTGAGCAGCAGCAGAGTGAAATGAGAAGCTTCTGATAAAGTCTGTAAGCATTTCCGTCAAACCAGCTTCATTTGTTTAATAAAGGACTAAACAAACAAAAAAACAACAACTAAATTGTCAAGATTTGGTGATAAATGTTCTGAATATGAAAAGCAACAGAGATCCTGGTGATTTCAGGGATCTGTTGAGTTGATGTTCAGTCATGGGGAACCACCCTGCTCGTTGCTCACTTCCTTCCAGTGTTCTTTAATATGAATCTTTATCCATTCAGCTCTGCTCAGTAGCAGGATCACCTTCCTTTTCTCTTTCGAATGTCTCTCATTTCCAAAGAAAACCTTTAAAATGTCCTGGATTACGACAGCTGCTTCATGTCGTACATCGGTACCTCAGACTCAGCCGCCTTGGCCTGGTCTTCAGTCGGCCTGGCTGCACCTGGGCTGCTCTTACGGCCTTTAGGAGGAGGAACAGGAGCGAGTGTGTCTGCAGCCCCCTCAGCTCCTTCCTGGCCCTCCGCCACAGTCCTTTCTTTCTTCAGGTTCAGCTTTGCTGGGACGGTCTTGGTGAAGGTCTCCTTCAGCTTCTCACCAGAGTGCTTCAGCTTTTCTCCAGACTGGCGGATTTTCTCACGCCTTTCGGCCGTTACGATTCGCTCTCCAAACTTGTTGACCTTGGTGCCCAGGTTCTCACGGGTCTTGCTCATGTTCTCCTTGGAGAAGGTGGCTTTGAAGCTCTCCATGCGTGTCATCCCTGTCTTCTTCACACGGCCAGCGGCTGAAGAGTCTGCTTCCTCCACAACCATGTACTCTTCATCTGATTCTGGGGGGAGTTCAAACTGGTCTGGTTCCACCTCAGGTCTCGCTGCGGCTGCACCGCTGGACTCTGCTGGCTCGTTACCTGGCGTGATAGCTTTGACTTCCTGGTCACCCTGAGAGACAGTAAAGGATATAATATCAACCTCTGGATTTTGCAAGTCTAACCTTTGGAATCTTTTTTTGTATTAGAAAAAGATTAATAGTGATGTCAGGTTTAAATCCGTCACTGGTTCAAATGCGTCATCCAGACTTGAAGGGTTAGTTTGCAGGTCTTGATCCTGCCTCCAGAAATAAACTGCAGCACCTGTTTCTGCAGCTCAGCGCTGGGCTGCAGGATGCTAAACATATCGGTGAGCTGCAGCATATGGAGCAAAGCTGGGGCGCTTTCAGCTTCAAGATGCATCATGATGTTTATCTGTCACTAACTTATATCAGGTTACGGAAAAATGCAGAAGAATTAGCTGCAAACTAACCCAGATTCATAATTAAACAGACCTCACTCATTCCTACAGGGAGCTGACCAGTGCAAGCACCACACTGTTCAACAGACTTAACGTTTATCATTTGTGCAAGTTAATGTGACTGATTCCAAAGCATCCACAAAAAAGTACAGTTAATTATGTTCAATATTGAAATGTGGGAATATTGATTAAAAGATCTTTGCTTTCAGCACTGTGATCTTATTGGAAAACTTGTGAAGCCTCAAAGGTTACAAAGCCATGACTTAGAATCATGTCAGTGGGAGCGTCAGCATATTTGATTACATGCATCACCGGTGACACATGATACCTGATCGGCTGACATTTCCAGGCCTTAGACAGAAACCATTCCTGCCATAACTGAGCTACAGGAAGTGAACACACAGCATCAGTTACTAACAGAAAGGTAGCTGACAAATTTTGGAGGACTGGAGTACATGTCCTGTTACAATACTTATACATTATTGTCCAGAGATAAACACAAATATTTAGCATTTTAAATGAATTTCAAGTACTAAAAACCTGCTAACTAAGCTAAGAATGGTACAACCCAATGCTACAAAACCTCCGATTATCGCAAGTCACAGGTCTTTCTCGCTTAATTTAGATCATCTAATGTCTCTAAGCCAATCAAATTAGTTAAACTAAAACCTGCCTTCTGGGCAGGTAGTAGCCAATCAGTGGCTAGCATCATGATTGGACAAAAAATACCAGGGGATGAGCAGACAGCTATATTAGGAGATGGTGGAGGCTTAGACTCAGAATAACTTGGTCTGTCAGCTCTCAGCTGGTTCAGTCACTTATATGACAGCAGCTGAACACATGCTGCATTCTGGTTGAATAGCTGCATAAGAATAAAAGAGGCTTACTGGCTCTACCTTAAGATTTGAAACATTTATGAAAGAGGCAGATAAACACAATTAACACGTTTCTTACTTCAGACATTACTATAACATTGTTTAGCATAAAGCCCATAATGTTAACTTATCTATGTTCATTTTAAATATAGAAGTTTGTATTTTGAGCCACTTTAGCACTGATTGGTTGTCTGACACACTGCGGGTATCCTCCTGTTTAATCCAGAATGCTGGTAAAATGTGTATTGGTGTAGCATTCTAGGATAAAAAAACAACAACAAAAAAACCCAGAAACAGAATAATACATGTGGATGGTTGATTTTAAGGGGCCAAATATATCTATCCCACGAAAACTTGTTGAATTAAAGCTGTGATCTTTGCAGGAACCCCTCAGCATGCTGCCAGGCTTTGCAACGCTAAAAAAACCAAGTCACTGTCCGGTTGGCAGCTTCTGACTGTGGAGGCCAGAGAAGTAAAATACGGCCTGATGACATTTACCCACTGACATTCATGTTAAAGCAACTCAGATTTGGATTAAATAGACTTTCAGACAAGGACAATATCGTGCAAGCTTTTCTAAAACTCTCTACAGTCAGAATTAGATCTTGAAAAAGCTTCAAAACAAGATTGCAAATGTTAAATTATGTTCTTCACTATTCACAACACCTGTTTAAATTGATCAACACTTTTTAGCTAAACTAAGATATCTTTGTTGAGTGCGAAAAAGTGTTTTTGATAAGGCTTATAAAAAAAAAAAAACTGGAGCAATCTTAAACCTGATTCCTGTTCTAAAAGAAATTAACAAATGTTTCACATAAACAGTTTTTAACAGCAGTTAACAGCCTCTTCTGTGAAACTGAATGTGGTTTGATGGTTATGTTGAGGAATAGTTTTAAAACCAGCAACTGTCCTGTGTGATCATTGAGTGTGATGGTGGCTCCTCATTCTTTCTAAACAGGAAAGCAGTCCTAAAGTTCTGAGGAGCTTTGACGTCTATGCTGAGGTTATGAAGTCTTTTTTTTATTTCAAATATATATATATATATATATATATATATATATATATATATATATATATATAAACAACCTGCATTCTAGAACCAGGTCTGAATGGTTTTTGCTGGACGTTTTTGCTGTCTTTGAGTTGTGGTTTAGACTGTTAAAGTTTAAGCTGTGGTTTTGCATCACTGTGATTTCAGATTTAGGTGTTTCTTGAAAAATGCCTTTAGGGGTTATTTTTCTCACTTTACCTATCTAATGTGCAGTAGAATAATTATCTTCACCAAATTTCATCATGTCTTATGTTCTTTGTTAAATGTTTTACTTGTAGCAAACACTTTCCAGTGCATCATTACTTGGATTGATCAGGATTCTTAAGGTGGTTTATGAAATCAGCGAGTATTGATGGTGTTGAGGTGGTCATTCTTGTACACCTTACCTGGTAAATAACAACCCTGAACTTGTTCTTTGCGAGCAGGTCTCCCTGAGTGGCCTCCACCTTCTTCACCCTGAGGTTCTGGTTCTCCACGCGCACCCTGACATCCTTGATGTGGCAGCTGACCTTGCGGGTTTTCTCCAGCAGTCGGCTGACGGTGGAGCTGGTGTTTGCATGATCGTTGGTGAGCTTGACGACGTCGGCCTGAATGGTTTTCACCGTGTTCTCCAGCTCCAGCTGACGCTCCTCCATGCGCTGCTGTGTGGCTTGGACATTGTCCATGAGGCCGGCCACGCGCTCCAGCAAGGCCATGATGCCTCCAGCATCATCTCCGCCTCCTGCTGGCATCCCGGGTTTGTCTGTCATACTGTCTGGTTGGCTTCTGCTTCGGCTGGGTTTTTAAATGATTGTTTCAATTATCAAAATAAAAAATCAATGAAAAGATAAAACCCTGAGGGGTTTGTTTAAGTCAGAGGCTTTAAGGAGCTGAAGACCACAGCAGGGTGACGGTGGAGGATCCAACAGAGAGCAGGCAGAAGCACCGGATCACCACTCTACAGCTGGAGGTTGACCCTTAAAGTGTTCAGATCAAGTTAAAGACTCCACCCTGTTGGACCTAAGAGGGAGGGCTGGTGGGAATAAAAAGAAAGGAGGGGGACAGGAGCAAGCTAAAATAACATGAGCTATAGGAGCACTAATAGGATGAATAAACTTTACTGATATTTGTAAAGTACATTTATAATTATCTTTAATTATAACAAAACAGGACTGTGGGAAAAAAAACTGAAATATGATCTGAATCTTAGTTTTTCTTGGTTTTAATAGTGAAATCTTTGACATATTGAATTAACTCTCAGACCCTCAGACAGAAGCTAAAACCATTTGTATAAATCTTTGAGAGATAGCTAAAGAGGGACATGTATCCCATTTTTTTCTCTGTGTTCTCTGAAGCTAAAAATACAACAGTTGTAAAGTGACTCCCTTTGAGGGGTGGTAGTATTAAAAGCAATGGAAACCCCCTCCCATGTATTCCTGCTCTATCAATCTATCACCCAACACCTTTTCACTTCTTCTGTCTTAATCCATCCCTCCAGGTTTAGACCTTTATGCATCCAACAGATCAACAACTGAGAGGTTAGGTTTCATTAAACCATCCTCAGACACATAACTGCCAAGGCTGCCATCTTTGTTTAGAGTAGGTGATAATAAATGGGTTAAAAGTAGTCCGAATTTTTAGTGGGAACCTGAGATCTGATTTTATGGAATTTTAAATGTTGTTAATGAAGAAAGGACATCTTTAGATATTATGTAGAATCACGTATTAAAAATATCATGTACTAAAACTGCAGCCAGACATATAAGCCTCAGGAGTAGGAGTCTGCAGATATAGTAGATATACTAACAAATTATCTTCTACAATTTTCTCCACTGTCTAATTGCATTGAATTTCCAAGAACAGAAACACTTTTTAAATCTTGTGTTAATTATAAATTAACCTTTTCTTTGTATCTATCTTTTAAGGTACTGTAAACTGGGTTTTAGTAGTTAAGCTGAAGTGAAACATTATTTTATTTTACAATTCACTACATAAATTGACTCTAATTCTAATGATATCATATATATATATATATA